CGTATCTTTCGTTTGAGGTTCAGGCTTATCTGGGTTCCTTTTCCTTCAAATACTGATGAAAAACTTTCAGCGCTGTCTTTGTGACCCTTTTGGTGCTTTTTGCATCTTTATCATTTAGAAGGAGGTTTAAATCTTCTTCTAATAATGGGGCAGACCTTGATTTCGACTACGCCATGACAAAACTGATCAAACTGCTAGGGTCCGTTTCTCGAAAGCTCCGGAAACTTTTCGGGCCCGCAAAACCATTTTTATTTACTGCGCCTTTCAATAAAATACGGACTCTATAATTCAAAGCTCAACCGACAAATGCGTTTTTCGCTACCATGAATCAAATGTTCGGCGACTCCTCCCAGCTTCCGACTAGGGGGGGAGCCGCCGAACATTTGATTGACAGTAGCGAAAAACGTATTCGTCAGTTGAGCTTTGAATTTTAGAGTCCACATGTTCTTGAAAGGCGAAGTAACTGGTACTTAAAGACAGAGAGGTGTATAGCCTGAAACTTCTTGTATGAAGAGAACCTCTGTTTATATTAAGAATATGTGCATAAAACTGCTCTGTAATCATAAGGTTTGAGATTTTGCTACGGCTTTTCGGGTGCGAAAACTTTTCGGGACCTTCGAGGAACGGGCCCCAGGTTCGTGTGTTAGGTGACGTCACTTCTGCATGCATAAAACCACTGTCTATAGATATGACGTCACTTATACGTATATAAAATCTATTGTCTGTAGGTATGACGTAAGAGAAACAGAGCAAGCAAGAATTAGCTGCGTGCTTATAGCCAATCAAAATCGAGCTGGTGACACCAATGTATAATAATCACCAATGTTCACTTCGCCTTTGTTGAATAATTGTTAAGTATTCACGAAAACGGATTTTTAATCCCAATAACCATTCTCGATCACACGCGTTCGGTAACGTACTTGAGCCGGGTGAATAGTTTTTCGGATCGACGGATTTGGCCGTAAAACGCGCGGGAATTGTGGATTTTTGCGGTAAATCGAGCGGATTCGCGGATTTTGAAATTGAACACAGTGGAACGTGAATCAGTTGTGAATTTTGGCGCGGATTCCGGATTGCGCCTGTCTTGATGTTTGGATCTTGGGTCCTAAACGAAATTTGCATCATAGATCTTTTTTCAGCCTTGGTCGGTATGTTAATGAGTTCATTCAAATTATTATTTTTTTTTTCGAACAAAGCTCATTTAGACTCAGGTGTGAGGCTGTTATTGGAATTGTACTGTGTTATAGTCATCAAGCGTGTCACCGTCTTTACTATTTGTGCGAAATTAACAATGGCATTAACATTTAACAGTTTACCTTTGAACTTTTACACTCTTGTTTCCGGATGTGGTTTTGGTTTCAGATTTGAACAAAAAAATTGGAGGATCGACGGACTTGGCGAAAAATAAGGCACTGATCGGCGGATTTACATACCCCTATTCACCCCCATCGTACTTGGTCGTCGCTCATCGAGTAAGGCCAGGGGATCCGCTAGGTAGGGAAATAGTTGTGTTATTTTGAACAAAACGTGCTGTTCTTCGTCAAGTGAGACCCAGAGTTCTCGAGTTGAGGATTAGAAGAGACCGAAGCAACTTCAGCATTGTCTTTATTTTAGATTGCTGCGAAGAAAATGTCTATTTTGCTGTCGTTTCGGAAGGGCAGCTGGGTTGTACTGCGAGTGCATCCAGCAAGAGAGACTTGGTACGAGCGTGACGTCAAGGTTGTGGTCGGGGACTGGGATGAGTATAACGCGGAACTCTTTCACTTGCTGCACCCGAGCTTACTTCTTGCAGGATATTATTAATCAAAGACGAGAAGCATTCCTTGTGGTTTATATTTCCTTCAACTTGACATATAAAAGAAGATAAAGCACACATTGAAATAAATATCTTGGAAGAAAATGGGAACTCTGCACGTCCCTATTTGTCGATGGATGTTAGCGACATTTGTCGTTTTTGGCGCATTGCGGCAATCCAGTAAGTTCGGCGATTGAGAGCCTCTGTAATTGTGTTTTATGATACCTCCGTTAGCTCTTTGGATTGGAAAATCCACTGAGGAAAATAACGGCTGATCGTAGACGTGTAAATTTTTCGAATTTCTTGTGTTATTTCAGAATCATTCAATTTCACAAGTAAGCCTGCCGATCCTACTGTTGTTGTGGAAGGAGTCAATAGCACACAAGTTCACCTCGTTTGGAATTTCACTGCCACTACAGGTTTTGGGATCATCATTACAAGAGAGAAATCCGATGGAACACAAAACATCCAAATTGCAACGCTTGGCCTTGGCAGTGCCGCGTTTGTGATATCGAACCAGGTCGCGGCCGAATACGAAGCAATTCCTCCCGGAACGCTGGTGATAAAGGAGGTCACGAGAAATGATGAATGTGTTTACAGCTTCGCTGTGCTAAACTCTTTTTTACATCGGGAACTTTTTGACAGCGTAGCTATTGACGTGCTTTGTGAGTATATCAAACAACTTTGGATGTGTTCTTTTATACCTGGGCTTTTTCATTGTTTACCTTAGTTCTATCCATAGACGTTATTAACGATACCGTAGGCTTATAAAACTGCAAGGTACACAAGCTCGTTAAAACCTTTGCTTCATAATTTTAGTTGCATGGACCACAAACTCCGTTCTAATTATCTGATTGCCTTGTCCATCTTTAATCTGCATTTCTTCCCCGTACAATGGAAGCTGGCCAGCCGTTCTGTTATTCATATGCCTGTTTTAATGTTTACGAAGTAGGCCTCAAGCATATTCAACTTATTAATCGTTAATCCGCTTTAATCTTTAAATGTGTAAGTCCTCGACGGATTTTGTGCCCAGTAACGTCGGAGGGAGAGCAGATTTTGTAAGTTAGATCAGAAGATCTAGAAAACTCACTTCTGGCTAATTTGCATTTAACAGCATACATGTTTAATAGCCTTCAATAGCCAGCTTTAAGTCAGTTTCTGTTAACTACTTTGTTTCCTTTTATAAGGCTTTTTATGATCTCAAGATTTTTATACTGCGGTTGTTTGGATGTTTATTAGACTGTGTGTATTGCGGTATGAAATTCAAAGAGTGATGGAGCTTGTGTTTGCTGTAATCTAATATGGCTGATAATCATAACATCTTCACTTGAATCATTTATATTGCACCTGGATAAATTATGAGTTGTTTTGTCCTAAATTAGGGGATAAAATTTTATTTGCATTGTCATGACTACACTATGGCACTGCTGAACAAATTAAAACCCATGGATTTTTTTAGTTTAAAATGAATGTGGAAAAAAAATTTTCTAGTAGTTATGATTTGTATGAGGTAATTTTATTCCTCTTGCTTTAATTGTGTTCATTCTTGTAAAGCAGTGATGAGTGACAAATACTCTTTCAACACAAAATTATTGCATCTGATAAAAAAAAATAAAAAAAAAATAAATGAATAAATAAATAAATAGATAGAACACATAACATGCATCATCTCTGTTTCCTAGGAATACTGTGGAACAAAATAATTATTTCCTAATCTTCAGAAAATCTGATTTGTTAGCTGATGAAGTGCAATCATTTTAGATTTTGCATGGAAAATATGCAGCAGTAATAATACTTTCTTGAAATTGTTTGTAGTAATGATGTGTATTGTTTTGCCGGTAAACACAGTAGGTTTGATATTGGTTTAGTAGATAGACGTTTCATCATGGACTAAAAGTACCCGGAGTTTTTAAAATACTAAAGGTCTAATTTAAGTTCTTTTGAAATAAGTCATGTGCGATTTATTATATGAACAACAAGCTGAAGACACCTTTTTGTTTCAGACACGCAATCATAAATGGGTCAGTGCTTACAGCCAATATCCCGGTTGGATTTCAAACAAAAGATTTAGCCATAAATGATTATCTTTACACTTTGCTTTATTCACAACAAAAGATAAACTAAACTCCCATTAAAATTCCATTAAAAGAATGTTAACTGGTATTAGCTTTTGGGCATATTTTTTTTCTACCTATGTGTTAAGTAACTAAATTCTTGAGCTTTCACACACTTTAATGCATACGTAGTACACAGTTGTTTTCTTGAGGCAAATTAGGCCTTATTTTGAAAACAAAGATAAGAATGCCAAATATGTTTCTGGCTTGATCACAAGTGAATGTAACAGCCGACACAAACATCGATTACGATTCTTGAAGCGAACAGAACATTCGACAGTAAGAATTATCAGTTTAAAGTTTTCTACCAGCTCCATAGCCAGTGCACTGAGGATTTCAATGCAGTGTAGGTAAAAATCACACCCATTCTTTACCTTATTAGTGTTACATAGTGTGAGAGAAGTTTTCAAGAATACTGAGGAGAGTTAAGTGAATTTATAATTATCGACCAGTGCCAAAATCCAAAATTATTTGATTTGGAAAGAAATGAAAGTAAGCTTAATCAATGTCTATAGCGTCTATTTCCTTAAGTGTCTGTACAGGTTCGATAGCAAAGACATGTCGCTAAATAATATAGCTAGTGTCTTTTTGAAAAGTCTCATTTGGACAATCCTGGCCAAAAGTCTATGGGACACTTGACAAAATGACAACTGGTGACGTATTTTTTTGAAGTGGGAAGTCATTGTTTAATCTGCGGNCTCCCCACACAATGTTGGAATACTGGGTCTACTTTGGATGAATCAACATCAACATTGTGAGTGGGGAGGGTGAAATTGACAGATAGACCATTTGTTGACAAAAGTGCAAAGTGTCCCAAGACTTTTGACTAGGATTGTAGATAAATATATATTGACATCTCCGAAATTAAATCCTCACATGAAGACAATCCATTATCCCGTCTTCCTATTCAGTTTCTCTAGGAAAGTGATTCTGCTACAAACTGTTCAAAGATATCTTACGTTCTCGAGATCTCCAAATGCTCATATGAGAATACAGTGAAGATGACGAACTGGTTCATGCTTAGCGTACGTACATCGAGTTATGGATGCACACGGGAAGTTTGGAGAGCACTAGAGAAGCATAAGAGTTGCTCGAGGCGCAGCCGAGAGTAACTCTAGTTTTTTGAGTGCTCCCTTAACTTCCCAAGTTTATCAATAACTCGATATACACACAGCTATAAGCATGAACCAGTTCTTTTATAACACAGCGACAACAACTTGGGCGCTAAAACATTTCATTTGTGATTTATTTGTGATGATATTATTATTTGATATTATGATTTTATTGATTTATTGGTGATTGACTACAACGTTCTCACACTGCGAGGTGAAAAAAACAAGGGATCCTATTGCCTAGTCAAAAACACTTCACAATCAGTTGAGCAACAGTTGAAGGAAAACGTTTGTCAATGAAGAGTTCGCTTCTTCTAATTAATGAAAATGTAGGCAAACAAAGTCAAAATACTTAATGAAAATGTAGACAAAAGAGTCAAAATACTCATGTTTGAAACATCTTAGCTTGGCAAAAGTCATAGGCTCGAAGTAGGGTTTAGATTGCTCAGAATGATGTTCACATTGCCGAAACTTTAGCGAAAGGAACTTGCAGCTAAACCCAACGGAAATTTTGCGGTTAATATGAAACTGCACAAGTCATGTTATTTACGCATGGGTCTCCCTCAATATAGGCTCGATTTCCAGCCGTTTTAGGAGTCCGGTTGTTTATCCTCCTCCCAACGAACGGCTGGATCACTGCTCCGTAGGGCTAGTCCGTGACGTCACTTCCGCGTTTCATGCAAATTACCATGCGGGCGCCATGCGGGCAGCGCGGGAAAAAAATGTTTGTTGCTACGCAAAAAAATTAAGCCTGTTGGTTCTATGTGGAAATATTTTGGATAATTCAAGGAATAGCGTAAAACTAAAACAGGAACTTGTTTCAAGGCTACAAGAAATCGTGGCCAGCAAGAATCTCGACTTTGCAACGATTGTCACAAATCGCTAAGTAAACAATATTTGAGATAGTCAAAATCTTCGATCCTGAGCCCGAATGGCGAGAGAACTATCCACTGAAACCAACGTTACGTCTTCAGTCTACCTCTGTTTCAAGACCTCTGTAGCTAACTAGAGCTTTTTCTTACCAATATACCATGCCGGCTCTACCACTCTCGGTAGCAGGACTGAATGCTGCTAGTTCTGCAGAATTTCCATAGCAAAGAAGCTCCCGCATGTAGAGTTGAGGTAAGAACTCTTTTTTTCTAGGCAGAAAAGATACCAAAGTATAAGGCTGCTAGTTCCTATCCCGATTTTAGTGATCCGACAACAAAGTGAACGAAATTGCGTGTCATGTTTAGGTAAACACACGACGGTAATAAAATTCGTATCCTAGCGCACGGTTTAGTTCTGGCCCTTCGTTTTTGAAATTATCGAAAATTGCTATCACAAATTAGCAATATTTAAAATCAAGTTGATTTACAAGTAAATCGCCCAAAATAACCTTTTTTTCTGGCAAAATTGAACATTGAGGGACGCGTTTCCTCGGTGATCCGCATCTGTAAATAACGCCAAGTGTTTCAGCGAAAAATATAAACACGCACAGTAAAGTGGCCATACATGTGTGGAAAACTTATTTGTTGTTTTGGGTGTACTAACTAGAGCAGATGGTTCACTGGATAATAATTAAACGTACAGAGATTTCAGATTTGGTGATTACAAGTACCCACTCTCCCCTCCTTGTATGACAGATGAGGACTTGCTTAAAGGAAACTAGACAAAAGTACAAGTATCACCATTACACTTACATTACAAACGTTATGAGGCCTGGAAGGTTTTTCCAAATCCCTTAAATCTGCGTCAAAATGCAAAAGTAAACCTCACTAAACGGCTGGAAATCGAGCCTACACTCAATAGCAATTAGGTAGGACCAGCGCGCGCGCTATGTTATAAATTTTTGTATAACGTAGCGCGCACGCTGGTCCTATCTAATTCCTATTGAGGCATCATATACGACTGTGCGTATGTAAGATGACGTGTGCACTTTCAATTTAGCTGCAAAATTTCCGTCGAGTTTAGCGTAAGCTCCTTTTGTTTAAGTTTCGGAATGTGAAGATAATTCGGCTGTCGCCTCGAGCAACTCTTACGCTTCTTTCGTGCTCTCTAAACTTCCCGCGTGCATCCATAACTCGCTATACGCACGCTAAGTATGAACCAATTCTTAAATATATTGAAGATGTCAACACCTCGATTGGAAAAGTAGAAAACATGTTAATTTCAGCAGATAAAAGATGCTTTAAGACAAGAATAAGAAAAAGTCGTAAACAAAATGAAACCGTTGTCGCACAAAAAATGGTTTGATAAAGAATGTCGCTTTAAAAAAACACGAGCTAAGGAGACTTTAAAACCAAAAACACTGAGATTCTTTAAATGCAAACTTACGAGAGCAATATCATGATGCTTTAACAGAATACAAAAGGCAGAGTAAGAAAAAACTAATTGCTACAACTCAAAAATCACTGAGTTAGAGGAAATGCAGAATCTTCAAAAAACGCTTTTGGGAATGTTTACAACAAGAGATTATGATTATATTCTATTGTTACAATCAATGGATGAAACGCGAAGAGATAAAGACGAGATAAGTGCCTAACATACTCTCGTTCACTTCACTCGAATAATCCTTTAAATCCTATTCAGCTGTCAATAATGAATGACCTAAAACTTCTCGAGCGTTATAAAGAGCATTTCCCTCTTTAGACTACCTAATCACCGAAAACGAAAGTGTTATGACCGGTGAAAGATTGCAAAAAAACAAATCGTCCTTCTCAGACAAAATGAATCAAAGACTCCTGTGAGCAGCTCATGGATGAATGTTTCCTTTTGCCTCTGTTTCAAAACGAGTCTTCGTGCGAAACCTTTCACATAAAAATGAGTTAATGAACCTGTAGGCGGAAGTCAAATGAATTGTTTTGTACTTAGACTCGTTTTGACATAGAGGCAAAAGGCAACTTGGAAATGGCTTATTGGATGAATGTAGAAAACGTAGTTGAATAAAAAGAGAAGAGGAATTGATCATTGTAGAGTTGTTCTTTGTACTGAAGTGGAACACAGGAAAAGAAACATCAGTTGGTCAAATTTGATGGATAGGTTTTGATGTCCAAATATGGTTGTTTATTGACACCCTTTAGGTGGTCGAATTCGTTCTCTGGTAAAATCGTTTGATAATAAATAATTATTTATTACATATTTGAAATGGATCGCAACAGCTAGAGCACAACAACAAAAATCAAGTTGAACACTGCTTTTATTAGAACATTTTCTTTATTTTTAGGTCCACTGAAATACTGACTACCATAATGTAGCACATAAAAGATAAGAGGAGACATTGTAGCCAACAGTCTCCTATACATGTACATGCAGATCAGATTATACATTTTTTTTTGGCTGAGTTATAAATAACAATCTTTACAGCAGCAGGACACACA